GAACTTTTAAAAAGGTGCAAAAATATCCCTCATTTTTTATAAAGGTGCAATTTAATCCTTATTGACTTTAAATTAATCAAATAAATTTCAAAAAAAGATCAAAAATAAATTAATAACTCGAAATTAAAAAATAAAAATTTTAAAAATGTAATTGTGTCCATTTCTCCCTTTATTATTTTTATATCACAATTTAATATTTTAAGTATAAAATATTATTTCAAAATATGTAATTTTATACTGCAAAGAATGCAAAATTAAAAATTAATTTTTCTCTACTTTGCAAAACATATGGTGCACCTTTTCGAAAGAATCTTAAACATATACGAGTAGTAAAATTTTGAAATAATATTTCATGCTTAAACAATATTAAATTGTGATATAAAAACTATAAAAGGGAGAATTAGACACTATTACATTTTTAATATTTTTTTTAAATTTTGAATTTTATAATTTATATTTGGTGTTTTTTGAAATTTATTTTATTAATTTAAAGTTAATTAGGATTCATTTGCCCCTTTATAAGAACATGAGGGATATTTTTGCACTTTTTTAAAAGTTCAAGGGTATATTTGTTCCGAAAAATAGAACAGGGGTATATTTGTTCCCACACCCATACTACAGGGGTATATTTGTACCTTTTCCCTAGTTTTTAAAGTGCAAAGAATGCAAAAAAATTTAATATTTTTTTACAATGCGATAGTAAAGTAATGTTTTACAATATTAAATTGTAAAGTTTATATATTAAAATGTTTTACAAAGTAGCAATTTTTTTAAATTTATATAGTAAAGTTTTGAAATAATACTTATACTAACAATATTAAATTGTGATATGCAAACAATAAAGGGGAAAATTGAACAAAAGTACATTTTTAAAATTTTTAAATTTTTATTTTTGAAACGATAAAAAAAATTATATTTGAATTTATAATTTATTTTTGGTATTTTTTGAAATTTATTTTATCAAGTTAAAGTCAATAAGGGTAAATTTGCTCTTTTATAAGAATATGAGGGGTATTTTTGCACCTTTTAAAATTACAAGGGTATATATATACTTCTACATATACTTCAGGAGTATATTTGTTCCGAAAAATAGAACATGTTAGAAATCGGTTGTAGCTCGTTCTTTTTTTTAATGATTGAGAAGATGTTAGAAGTTTTAATTTATACGTAGTAATATTTTTTTATTTCGTTCTCTATATTTTTTTTCCTTTCAGATTTTATTTAAAGAGTAAATAAAAGAAGATGATATGGACAACTACTTTCATTTTCTAATTTCTAATTGCAGAATATAGAACTTGATCAAATAAAATAATAAACATAAGAAACCGAATTAAATCGAACTAGGTTATAATTTTTACTTTGGTAAACCGATCACTAAACCAAACCCAACCGAAACCAAACCGAAACACAAATGGTTTTAGTTTGGTACACATTCTCCCAAACCGGATAAACCGAAACTGAAGAAAACCAAATTGCCCACCCCTAGAGAAGAGGAGTGACAAACCTGGTCGACAAAGATGGTGGTGATGGACTGGTGATGATGGCAACAGCTTGGGTGGAACTTGGAAGCGAGCAGTGGCAATGAGCTACTGCCGATGATGAGACGAAAAGGTGATGGTGGATGGGTGATTTCGTGAGGCGGAAGGTGAGATGGGGTTGCTGTAAGGGTATTTTACTCCGTTGCTTCAAATCCGGCCTATTTTTTGTCCAATTTAAAATCGAGTCCTGTATTTGTCCATTCAAAACTCATTGGTACCATTATTTGCTAATAGCACATATAGTTACCTAAAAAAAGCACATATAGTTGCTAAACAATGCCAAAATTAGTGAAAGAGGAAAATGAAGATCACACTTGGGACAATTTCATGCCTCCAAAAAGAATGAATGGTGTAAGAAACATGAAGTCATGAATACACGCCTCTTATCTCTTCAGGATCATCTACAACACATGTCTAGGCACCAGGCTGCTGAATGGAACCCCTCTAGGCGCTCAAAATGCCATCCATGCGGTGAATGAATCACCTAGGCCCCATAGCCACAGGCCAGGGCGGTTAGGCTGCCGCTACATGACATTTTAGAAAGAAAAAAAAGGATGACACCCCATCCCTGAGGGCCCCCCAACACCGACCGGACGGCACGATGGGAGGATGTAAATTGGACTATAATCACAATCTGACAGATAGAGAGTGGGGCTCTGTCCCCGGTACTTGCACAATCTGACATTTTAGAGTATTATCTTTGGAATCCTATAGGCTAAGTGTCTAACCTGCTCAACTCTGGCCTCGTTGTTTTCATGTTTGTTATATCTTGATGGCAGTGGAGTTGCTAAGCTTGGAATGATAAAATAGTTGATATACTATTACAATTGCATATCTTTGGTTTCTTCCTTTTCACACAACAGAATAACAGATTGACAATCCTGTTCTCCATATTTAATTTCTATACACCGCCTGGGAGCATGGACTTGGTTGGTCTCCACCTCGCCGGACTAGCACCTAACAAAAATTAGAGGTCTGCTCTTGTCACTTGCTGACCTCTTGAGCACAGTGAACAACTTCAGCAGAAGTGAATATGTTCTTCATCACTATATACTGCGCAATATGTTCCTTTAGAACTCCCTCCAACTTATATGCCTGAGGGCTAGGAGTTTACTTTGATGCAAGACATTTTCCCGTCACTGTGGTGCTCCTTTCAGTCCTTCAATTGTGGAGCTGTTGGATATGCTGGGTGTCTAATGAGGTGTCTACGAGTGTGTCGGGATAGGCTCATTATTTTGGGATGCTGGATGCAAACCTAGAAAATAGTCGGATCTCACTACTGCTACTTTAAATAGAGATCACTGAAGTAAACTGTCACTATCTTCCAATCTGCACATTATCTTTCCTAAACTGGATCCATGTTCAAGACTATGTTTGCATGTTGAGTTGAAAATCGAATAATTACAAGCTTAAACCTATAAGGTATTACAAGCACTATAGGTAAAATTAACCACTTCAAAGCAAAAGCCATACTAGATACACTAATAAACTTTCATTCTAAACTTATATTTATATTAAGACCCATCGCATTAGCAATAAACTCTAAAATAAGCGCTAACATAAACAGTCGAGCCTTGAAGGAAAAGTGGAAGTGATTATCATTCCCCACATGTGTCAAAAAAATGTTGATGCAAGTTTTCACTTTTCACTATTTTTTAGGGGAATGAGAATCAATACTAAGGGACCAGTAGAAATAGAACTATAAACTACAAGATCACGGTTGCTTGGAGGTTGAAAATAAATGAAAACAAGACTCAGAGCCAGTTTGGCTGGGGGATTTCGCAAGAGATGGAAGGGGAGGGTTATATTTAGATTTAAAATAATTTTTACATATAGAAAATTGAAATAACGTGAAGACAAAATAATATATAAAAACATAGTTGTTACGGCGGTGTTTTGCGGCGCGGCGCCTTTGGACTGCCATACCGCCATGGCGATATGGCGCCCGTCGTGGCGGAGTCGCGGCGATAAGCCGACATATACACTAATAAATTCATAATATGTATTACATACTAAAAAGCCTATATGTAACACTTATAGCCAACACTACTAATGAAGTAAATGAAGTAATAAAACATGTAATCATAGAAATAACATAACCCATAAGACCATTAACCATAAGCCTATAGTTCATCAAAACAATCACAAAAATTATCCGTAATCCAAAAACTAGAAAAATAGAAATAACATAATCCAACATAAAAATACTTAAATGTATAACTAAACAATCAAAATTTCACTAAAAACTTAAAAAATATTATTAAATGTAAGACAACACAATTACACAACGTAAATTTCAGCATAAATTGAAGACATCGAAAAAAATTATGAAATATAAAATAAAAAACTACTGAAATTTATTCATTATTTGGGGAAAAACTGAAATTTGTTTTCATAAAATTAAAACTTTTCTTAAAATAGTAACAATAGTACAATACTAACTTTTCAAAAACTATTTGACTTTCTGTAAAACATTAACAGTTCAACATCAAATTCAAAGCATTCAAAAAAATATTAGATACAATTTTTTTGAGAAAAATTAAATACAAAGTTAATATACAAAGTTGGATGATTTTAAACCCACGTACCCAACTGGAGTAATAACTAAACAAATACGAATCACATACCCAAACTAAAGTTAAAAGTCCAAGTCTTAAAAAAATTTGAAGCAAGTATAACTGCGGACCAGGACTGAGCGTGCGACCGATTGAAGACGGAAGGGAAGAGGGGCTTGCGGACTGCGGGAGATGGATTGAGCGCAGATGGGATTCTGCGTTTGGAAACTCGCCGAGCACAGATGGATCAGTCTGGTTTATTTTATTTGATGGGTTTAAATTTTTGGGTTTGGGTTTGGGCCTATTAAAATAATTCGTTGCCTAGGCACGTCTAAAGCGTTCTTCCGACACCTCAAGGACGCTGCTTCGACGCCACAAGGTTTATGGCGAGTCGACAACATATGACGAGCGTCTCCTAGCGCGAGGACGATGTGGCGACGATAAGGCGACGCCATGGCGACGCCATGACAACTATATATAAAAATACATGGTTTAACTAATTATATAGTTATTCGTAGTCTAAAACTAATGAATTCAGATAAATCAATAAAGAAAAAAATCAATCCTCCCCTCCCCTCCGTTCCAAAATCCCCCAATCATACTGGCCCTAAAAGTACATGCAAACACACCACTCAGGCTCCTATAGCAGCAGCAGCATCGTCGTCATGGATAAAAGTAAAGGTTAACCAAGCATTCATCATAATCAACATATAAAGATATATACAGAAGGGAGGATGTGCTCAATTTGTTGAAGTACCATTGGAAGTGAAGGCTTTTCTGGAATCTTCGAAATGCATTTTAGTAGTAGCACAAATCAAAATGCAGAAATCAACCATTCAGGCTAAGCAGAAAACCCCTAGAGTGTCTCTATAAAAACATGGGATCCAGAGTTAAAGGGTTAGCATAAAAACTCAAGCTTCTTCCATTCCAAGTAGCTCATCAATCCACATTGAGTGAAAGTTTCATCAGATTCAATAGAAAAACATTAACTGCGGCACAATCTTATTCTTAATATCACAGACGTACAGAAGTCTCTGTCCAATTTGACTAGATAGGAAGCGTGAGAGAGAGAGAGAAGGGAAAGAAGCTTAGAGAGATAGCGATTTCTTGTACTTAGCTACCTCTCCTTCATTGGGGAAAAAGCCCATGAGTCTTCCTGCAGAGTTCTGGTAAGCGTACATAAACCCTCCCATCAGCCCAATCAGTCCTCCCGTCACCATTGATGGGCCCCTTATCCCCGGCTTTATGCCTGAGGAATAACAATCCCAATATCAAGGGGAAGTTGAAATTAATAGTCCCAGTACTGTCATGAACCTTAGAAAAATCGAATACAAATCATGGGGATGTACCTGAGAGATAGCCGACGGTGACAGAGACACCGGTGATGGTGGTGAGCCTGAGGTAATCGAGCGTGTTGAAATTGGAAACCACGTTTGTGAAGGGTGGATTCCGATCTATCACTGGATATTCGGGCTTCACAGAAGCAGTAATGTCTGTATTCATCCTCCCCGTCAACAGTGACACCCTACTCAGATCGGCTTTGTTCCTCTTTCTGGTTTCTATATTCCGGGTTCCTAATATTTAGTGGGCTGGTGTGGAGTGTATAGAACTTGCCCCAGTAGAGGTTTATACTTTTGTTTACACTTCAAATTCTTGCACAATGAACTTTATTTTGTTTATCTAATCTAATCTATATCTATATAAATCTTATAAACATCAATGAAGGTTAGGGTATTTTTGGTATATAAAATGTGTTGGTGTAACACAAAGCAATATATTGGTGTACAATGTGATCCGATAATTGTACTATAGACTTTGACTCCTACACTTCCGTTACCTCCGTTAATGTTCGAACATTCAGCCTCTCGGATTTTGCTGTCTCTTCATTGCACTTTGTTCCTTCTCTTCACTTTATTATATTTAGTTTATTCTTTTCCATTTAATAATTACACATCATTTGGAGTTTTATATTCAATCTATGTGGTGCATCGATTGAAACGGTTGTACTAAAGATCAATTTTCTCTCATTTTCCTAGGTGAGGTAAAGAAAAAGTAAAAATAAAAAGATTTCTTTTATTATTATTATTATTATTATTATTACTTTTAATAATAATAATGGAGTTTTATGGATGGCATGTCCGACTTTTAATAATTTGTGCATGAAAAGAGCTAATGTCAATGGTGGTGATAAGGGGCGGAGCCAGAGCATTGGGCTGGACTGAACCAGTACAAAGATTAGTTTTCGGAAAAAGTAAACAGAATTGTTTACCTTAAAAATTAAAGCATTTTTTAAAATTAGAGTGAGACAAATCTCTCTCTAGGGTGGGTTTCCACTGCTAGAGTTTTTTCCTCCGTTATTGTTTGTAACGAGGAGCGGCTGCTGCAGGCGGACTTAGGCGTACACCGTTTCTACTTCCGCCTTCAATTGCGCGACTATTTTAATTTTCTTCTTTTGCTTTGGCGAGATTACGCGGAGAGGAGAGGATGCTTGATTGCTTGATCTCCAACGGCCGAAGGTTATGCAGGGACGGAAGACAGATGCTTGGTCTCCGGCGGTCATATGTCATGGACGAAGCGTGTGGCTAGAGGCCAGAACAGATATGGATTTGAGGTTATCTATGTTAGGTACCTTGTTAGGCAAGGTAAGTAAGAAGTTACAGTACAATTGGATCCCCCCCCCCTCCTGAAGCGCCGCCATAAAGTGCATGAGAGTCTAGGGTTTGGAAAGAACTTTTTAGTTTTACTGTTTGCTTGTAATTTATTTTTCATGATCAGACTTATTTTTCTATTGGTTACTTTTATTGTTGTAAGCATTAGAATTGGGTGATGTGAGACCTGCTTTGACCGGCGTTGGCTCATTTATGCCAATTAACATAATATTGAACACTCCAATTAACAAACAACAAAAATTACAAATACTTCATAACTAATTTTAAATTTTTTGAAAAATCCGAAAGAACTAAGGACATGACATATTGAATCCGATAGAATTAGTACAAATTAATGGGGCCTCAACTGTGTAGATTGGGGGCACTACCTATTTTATTTAGGTGATAACTCTGATACCAATTTAAAAAATGGAGTACCATGGCTTTCATTTACTTGATTCGTCTAAATCATTATATCATTTCTAATTTAGATTTAAATAATTCAACTGTATCATCTTGATTGGCCCATGTGGACATTTTTAATTTAAATTTAAATGATTCAATTGGATCATCTTGATTGATCCATGTGGACAAAGGTATGGTACCTTAAGGGTACCATAGAATGTAACTTTTATTATATATATGTGTATATACTTGCATTAAACATTTGAAGTTCATTGGGGCATGCGCACCCATTAATTACTTCAAACGCCTGCCCCTTCTCATAAATAATGATTTTGAGAACTACATTAAAATTAATTGACTGAATTAAACTATTTCAGCCAATTTTGAGCTGATTTGGCATGCAGAACATACCTTAAGATCGTGTTTAATTTGAGAGTAAGACTGTACATTAAGACAATTACAGCTTAATTTATCTTTAAAGTCTTATAAAGCTGAATGAGGATTGTTATTGTTTTGATATAATAAGTATCTTGGTACACTAGAGTTAGATATTATTATACTTTGTGTTTCTAAGAAATCACTGTTCCCTTTATTATATACTCCGTAATTTTCTTGTATTTGTCTTCTATGATTATATTGTTAGCCTTTCACTCATCTTCATCAGAGCGATGTTGCTTAGAATTAATCGGTGGGTGCCATCCGCTTTTTCTAAGCATTTCGTCTCAGTCCGGAAACGATTGGTATCCGTTTAGATTTATCATCTCCATGTTCACTATGTACAAAAGAAGTCCTATAATAGGTTGGATGTGAGTGGAAAATTTGAAGTTGTGTGAGCTAGACTTTAGAATATAATATGGCCTTTTTGGATCCACAGTTCTATTGCATTCAATGTGCACGTTAAATATTATTGGGCATTATTCCACACGCGCAACGCGCGTTGTAAAACTAGTTATTAGATAAAAGATAAAGTTGTTTGTAGAAAAGTCTAATTAAAACTTGTTACAACCCTTTCAAATAAAACTTGTTACAACATTGATTTTTGTAACAATGAGGGTACAAGCTAATGTTTGTGAACAAAGTTCAATATTTCATGTCATAGGGCTTTCCCCAATCTTAATGTATAGTGGGATGCCTTAAAATAAAGAACAATTCTAAAGGTGTACACTACTTTTGTGTACACACTTTTACACATGTCTGTGTAGGTTGTTTTTGTCTATACATACAAAACGTATTTTGTCTGTACGTTTTATCTTTTCTACATAAAAGTGTGTACACAAAAAAATGTGTACCCCAAGTCCAACTCTAAAATAAATCTATTTAGAGTGTCATAATATCCCCCATTGTCACAAAATTATAATTATTTACTCGTAATTAATTAAGATTCATGTTTCATTCTCTATGTTGTAAGACCCGAACCGGACCGGCCGGTTCGACCCGGAACCCGGTCAACCGGCCATCTGTCCGGTCCGGTTGAACATTGAACCGCAAATGTGGTCAAAACCGGTATTAACCGTTGTCCCACGTGAACCCGGGATGACCCGAACCATTTGTAACTCGGAAAATTTGAAAAAATCGGAAAACCCGTCGCCCACAAGATTCAAACTCACGCGGGTTGCTTTACATGTGGAGATGCTAAGCAACATGCTACAATAGGCATGTGTTCCAAACGGTTGTTGAGCGTTTCTTATACCTATCAGCCTGGGATTATTTATTAACTCTTAATTCATTAGTTTATTAAATTAATTTATAATAAAAATACTAATATATAATTAAATACACATCAATACTATTATTATACTTTCCAATTATTAAATAGTCTTTTAATTTTTTTAAATTTATAATAGGTATTATGTTTGTATTTATTATCCATCTAAATCCTAATGTTTTTTTAATTTTGTTAAAATCAATATACTTAAATACTATATATAATGTTTTTTACATTGCATATATTGTATTATCATTATCATATTATTATGAGGGATGATGGAGTATATGGCCCAGGAACCCCCGGCCCATAGACTCCTACTTCTCCTACACAAGTCCATGGAGCCCAGAGAACATCTCAGGCCCAAATGCAACGGCCCAAGCCTCAAAGTAGCCCAGAATACACACTGGGGTGCCTTCGGCCTCCTTGGCCGAAGGCTCCAAAACTCACAGGATAGCCTTCTCTGGCATAAGAAGCTGCTGGGAGGAAACGGCGAAGACATGAGCCTTCGGCATTCTCATGCCCTCGGCATCAGGGGAAGCCTTCGGCTGAACCAAGCCTTCGGCTACACAAGGAGCCCTCAGCTGCACAAGGGGCCCTCGGCTGCACAAGGAGACCTCGGCTACACAAGGAGCCTTCGGCTGAACAGGCTCAATCATCGAAGATTCCTTTTAGAGACAGCCAACCACCGCATTTAATGCCACGTCACATCCGCCAACCGCATTCAATGCGGTTGACGTACCACTGCCGGTGCCACCAGGCTGATGTGACCCTTCGGCCGTTGGATTACTGACACGTGTCCTCTCATCGCATTTATTGCTGCTATAAATAGCAGCCCATTTCTCCTTGTAAATCATGATCTACATCTCAACTACACACGCTGAGTTCATTTAATAAAATCGACTCTCTCTCCTCCTATTTGCTCTGACTTCTCTCTAGTTATTCCCGCAATAACCCCTCGGATAAGATACCCCCCGGGTAGACTATCCATCAAGGGAGTATAATTTTTCTATTTAGGAATTTAAGCTTTTATATAATTAATTAATTATATGTATTGTTGATGACTGGGTTTTCCCGGCGTTGACCGGGTTGACCCGTCGGGTCCGGGTTGACCCGTGACCCAGTGACGCGGCCGGGTCGCTCACCGGTCCGGTTTTTACAACATAGTTCATTCTTAGAAAATTTTAATAGTCCAATTAAGAACCTTTTTTCGTAGCATCTATTTTGACATATCAACTTTTTCAATCAACTTTTTATTGAATATATAACTTTTGATTTCACATTTTTAATTGGGTGATAATCAAAATAAATAAATAAACTTATTTTTGGATGATTATTTTAGCTATTTTCTTCTAATCTTTTATCAATTTTATCAAGTATTACCCCTGTTCTGATATGATGGTCATGTATTTCCTATTTCGAGTGTTCTCAAATAATAGTCATGTTTCCCTTTTTTATAAAGAAGTTAAAGTTGATTATCATTTATGCCTCTCCTTTTTATGAGTGGTAATAAAAGTAAAAGAGTGAAGAGTATGAAAAAAAATCACAAAGCATATTCAACTTCTCCGGTGAGACTTTCAACAATCTTGCAAATTGATCCAATTTGGTCAATTTAATCAAATTGTTAGGCATTTGTTGATTGTTCGGGTGATTAGAAGATGCACATGATTCAATGGAGGAAGGTAGAAAGGTCATCGGTCATTGTTCTAAACTCGTAACCAGAATAGAAAAGTAAAGTGCCTCAGATGTGCAGATAAGTTCTTTTGCATTTTCAAACATGAATTTGTTTTCATAAAAATAAATAAAGATTTGATGATGGGCCAATGACGGATTGAACCCTTGACGGCTTGACTACGCCCATGTCACCGGTTGATAATGAGGGAGTATTTGAACATTTGATATTGAGTATACAAGCACAATCTTCCTATGTGCTTGTATACATATAACAATTCATTTGGAAAAGGACAAACTTTTATGTCAAAATGCTTTTTATTGAATTGGGCATGGACCCATGAGATTAACACGGTTAGACCATTTGCAATCTAGGGATGAAAAGGATGGATTTGATCTACTCACCCCAAAATTTCATACAAGTTTGGAAGAGAGGGGTAATGGATTGGCACCCTTTGGATGGGGAGTAACCAACCCATTTTTTCACCTCGGGAGAGAGAAAAAACACACGGGAGAGGGACAAAAAGTGGTGGTAGAAGCCTTGATAAAAAAAATGTTTGTTTTTAAGTTATGATATAGGAGTAATTTTTTTGTATTTGTATTGCAATTTTTATAAAAATAATCAAAAATCAATCTTTCAAATGACCTTCATATTGCATATACAAAAGTGATGATATAATTACAAAAAATGCATCACGTAAATATATTGACAGTACTGAAGTACGAAATATAAAGAAAAATTAAACTAATAAAGTAAATGCATAATTTTGGAAGGTGAGAACTCCGGTACCCATTTAAAAATTTGGTAGCGTACCTACTATTCACTTGATTGGTTCAAATAAGTATATCATTTTTAATTTAGATTTAAATAATTTAATTGCAATATTCTGATTGATTCATGTGGACAAATGTTTGGTACATTTTGGATACCATATAATCTACCAATTTTGGAATTTAGAGCGTGATTGTGTGCGGTCTTAAAATTAAGAAAATCGAATGGTAAGCACGATAAAAATTAGCCACGTAAGAATTAGCTCCCCTTCCGGGTAAATAACTTTTCGTCAAAATACGGAGTAGATGTTTACTTAACCTATACTCCGTACTCCGTATTCGTTAAACAACTTTTTTTTAAATACCCTAGGATTCTATCGCCATACGTTCAGAAAAATAGAAATACATCCCGGAGGAGTATTATACAGTCCACAGCAGCGGCAGCTCTCCAGTTGAGCGGCAGGAAGCCTGCATCCCTTACTACATGGTAATTCCGTGAAATCTTTAATATCTACTCCTAATTAATTAAGATAAAATGCTGCCAGAAAAGACTTTGGTGGTTGATTTTCTTATAATCTCGCATCCTTCGTCTGATCCGATCAAATATCCTGTTATTTTTTTACTAGCAAAGTTAAACTTGGCAAGATTCTTGTGATTGCATTCTGGCCAGGCTCATATTTTAATTTATGTATTTCTCTATTCTGTGAAGTCTTGAATTTCCTAGAGATAATCATATTTTAGAAATTGTGATTTGATTGATTCTGGTTTTGAAGGATAGAGGCTTGATTGATTGTAGGTGAACAGTGTAACTGTAGATCCATTAGATCGGGACATGGAGCAGTTTGCCGAGGTTGATCCCACGGGCCGTTACGGGCGCTATAGTGAACTATTAGGATGTGGAGCTGTAAAGAAAGTTTATAGAGCATTCGATCATGAGGAGGGGATTGAAGTTGCTTGGAACCAAGTAAAGCTTCGAAATTTTGCAGATGATCAGCAAGCCCTTGACCGCCTGTATTCTGAGGTTCGTCTTTTGAAGACTCTCAAGCATAAAAGCATAATTGCACTGTATTCTGTTTGGACTAATCAGGAACGGAGCACTTTGAATTTCATCACTGAAGTGTGCACTTCTGGAAATTTGAGGGATTATAGAAGGAAACACAAGCATGTTTCTATCAAAGCGGTTAAGAAGTGGTCTAAACAGATTCTTAAGGGGTTGGAGTATTTGCACACTCACGATCCGTGCATCATTCATAGAGATCTTAATTGCAGTAACATTTTCATCAATGGCAACGTTGGTCAGGTAAATTCATTTTTTCATCATCTCTTCTTCAATTCAGTTTTTAATAGTTATATTCTATTTAGTGTTTTGAATAAATGTTAAAAGAATGCATGTCTGCATTGATGGAAGGTCTCAATTTGTTTATATTTTTGTGGTTGTGTATGTTTTTGTGATTGTGCGTATATATGATCATAAGGTCTTGTTTGGTTAGCAGTTAAGAGTTTGCATTTGTTTTCTCTTACAATTAAATGGTTGGAAAGAAAGTGGAGATGAATTATTGAACAGAAATACAAGATTTGGATGTATTGTTATATTTCAAACTATGCCAAAACATTAACCCTTCAAAATCCCTCGACCAAACAACCTCTAATATATTCACATATTTTTATCCATGCTTATAATAGAGCTTCGGTGCTACAGTTACCATTAACATTGGTAAGTGGACAATTAGGTAAAGTAAAATCATGTATGTGCTATAAGAGCATACTAATTAATGCTAATAATTGTCTTATAAGAATATCTTTCAAATCAAGGAATGCGTTAGGGTCAATATATTTAATTGTCTAAATTAGTTTAATGCTACAAATCAATGTGTATTAACATTATTGTCTTATTTAATTTAAATAGGTTAAAATTGGTGATCTTGGTTTTGCAACTATTGTTGGAAAGAGTCATTCGGCACATTCCGTTCTCGGGACCCCAGAGTTTATGGCACCAGAATTGTATGACGAGAATTACACGGAGCTAGTCGATATATATTCGTTCGGGATGTGTGTTCTTGAAATGGTAACTCTAGAGTTACCCTATAGTGAATGTGATAATGTGGTGAAGATATACAAGAAAGTCACTTCTGGAATAAGGCCTCGAGCTATGGACAAAATAAAAAACCCCGAAGTTAAGGCTTTCATTGAAAAGTGTCTCTCTAAATCAAGTGAGAGACCTTCTGCTTCTGATCTTCTCGAGGATCCTTTCTTCAATGGCATTACTGACAACTATGATGATGACGATAATAATAACAATGAAAGTAGTACTCACAGCTGATTCTCATCTTCCTTGTGTAAATAGTTTATGCTTACCTTTTTCTGGGCGAAGATTTTGGGTGGAGTGTTTTTATGAAGTGTTTCATATCTAGCAATGTAAAGATTTAAAGTTCTTGATATTTGTATAAAGAATAAGGACTCAAATTTGGTCAAAAGTTGTCATGGATGGCGTGTATTGTGGATTTTAAAAGTTATAAATTGTTCTCATCCGAGTCAACAAGGATGGGTTTGAAATTTGAAAATCTTGATAACCGGTGTTCTACTAGCCAACAATGGAAATTTCTTTCCACACGATGAAAGAATATTTGTGTTGGAAACAAACCATTATCGTCTATCCAAACCATGTCCCCAAAAAAAATCAATGACAGTGAAGTTTATATCGGGCTATTGTTTTGCTTCGTTATGATGCCTTTGTGACATGGTTAATAGTATGTTTTTCTGCTTAAAACATTTATACTTAAATGGCACTTTTTACATCCTAAAGTAAAAACTGAATTGAAACCATACCACTGAAAACGGGTACGGGACTGGTTCTACATTTTGAAAATCACAAAATATTGGACCGATCAGACCATTCAAAAGTAATATTAGAGATTTTTATATTTTTCTCATTTTAATAATTCTTTTATTAAAACCAACAATTTTATATCTCAAGTATGCAGGGCCGTCTAATGAATTTAGAGGCCCCGGTTCAAAATGTAAAATTGGGGCCCCACATTAATATAAAAAATATAAAAAAAATTCTTAGTCCAAATACTTATACTCAAATTAATTGAATACTGATTAAAAGAGAACTAAAAGAGTAAAAAGACCAACGAAAAAAATGATGGATCTATATTTTTCTTTTTTACTAGCTAACTGTATTTTAGTGATAAGTATTAATATGTAATATTACTATATAATACTAATAATTGTTCAAAAATTTGGGGCCCCATAAAATCGGGGGCCCTGTTCTGGATAACCTATTGAACCTCCTAAAAAACGGCCCTGCAAGTATGCATTCATTTTTTGCAAAATAGCTAAATATATGTATTTATATATATTCGGTTACTGTCGTTTAGATAATTTATGATGTGTGTGTATATATATGGTATAAATTGAAAGAATACTATATTTTTAAAAATTTAAAGAGTATTAAAATTTTAAAATCATTAATGACTACGGAGTATTAACTTCCAGAATAGTAGTGTATATGATTATTTATTGCATTATATTTGTGTAGTTCGTTTTGCAACTTAATTAATATGATTTAAATTTTAGCTCTCACAAAGCAACTATGAAACAAAACTAATATTCAACCTAGAACAAAGATGTAAAATGATAAGTTTCTCTATTATATTTAATAATGTCATTATATTTTTCTGATGATATCATGTGAATTTAATAAAGACATTGTCTATCTGATGTATCATCGATTTGCTATATTTCCTTAATTGTATTGTATTCTTTGTGTATTTGCAAAACTTAAACACAAAAATGTAAGCCTCTTAAATTTTTCCCGACATTTAGTGCACAACACATTCAAGAACAATTATGAACTCCAAATATTTTGCTCTACCAGTTGCTACATACAGTTTATGTGGAGGGAGTATTAAATTCTAAAAGACCAACTCCTATTCCGAGTTATGAGCGGCTATATATAGTAATATGATGGTAGTTGCGCTAGGTGACGTACCACTGTCTTATTGATTGAGCTGTTACGTAGCCCATATCAACACATTAAATGTTTTCCCGCCAATTCTAAGTTTTCCAACACATTATGAGCTGTTATGCAAATGCAAAGACTGCCTGCCCTTCGTCTAGGCCGAGCGTCTGCTAGGGAGGGACCAATTGCAAGTACTGTCACGCTCACCCTTCCGAGGATATCGCCCAGCTTGGTTGGGAGCGTTCGCCACCCCTCTCACAATCCTCCGTGTGGCTATGACGTTGAGCTGGTGACGAATCCATAATTTGTTATTGTTGGGGGCACCCGGATTGGATAAATCCGACCCAGAACACCTTGGCCAACCAGAGTGAATACAAATTTGAATTATTTAATGGATTTATGCACCTCCGATGCAATAAAATTACTAGTTTTACAACGATATGATTTCCGTTCTAGTATCTTTGGATATTGATTCTATGAGGCACACCCTAGAATGTTTTTACTTTGATTGTTTTCAATCCCATTTTAGATGAGATTAGATCAAATTTGGACAGTTATAAAATATATGGAGATCAGACATTACCAGACTAGTTAAGACCAAATTAGACAAGACCGACAAATTTCAGTCCAATTAAAAAACATCCTAAAGAAAGTAAGATGATGTGATTTTATAATATATATATATATATATATATATATATATATATATATATATATATATATATAAATGGCTTTGAGTCACATAGATATTATCAAATATAGTTTGAGACAAATTAATGAGACATCTATAAATAAAATATGATTTTTTTAGAGAAGTAGATGATGAACCTTATATTTTGTTTATAACCACTTTGGATTTCAAAATTTTAATATAAGTAAATTATTGGTTCTCAAATAGTACGTGGTAGTACTGGTACCTAACATTACTTAGACTTTGTTTGCAACCACTTGTGCTTAAATAAAAGCACTTTTTGGGAAAAAGTGATTAGTAGTAAAAGTTGGTAGTGTTTGGTAAAATAAGTGCTTTTTGTGTCATAGAAAAAGTAAAAAGTAGATTCTACACGAAAAACGAGATAATAAAAGTTGGTAGTGTTTGGTAAAATAAGTGCTTTTTTCTTTTAAAAAAAAAAGCTAAAAACACTTATAAATAGAGTTTGCAAACAGAGCCTTAGACTTATAAGAGCAGAAGTTCAAAATTTGGCTTTAGGATGTGTTGGGGACATCCTAAAAACATAGGACTACTGGTACTTCAATAAAAAATAGATAGTGTTAGAACAAATTGGTGGGGCATCCATTTTTTTCTATTGGGGGCACATCCAATAATTCTTTGTTGAGTATATTTTTTAAACTAATTGTTGAAAAAAATGGGGGCATGTTCCCCCATGGCTATTAAGCTGCATCCGCCCCTGCGTTGAGCACCGTGAAAGAGGAGATTAAGTGAATGGACTCTATCTGAGGTATGGTCCAATCGTACCTGAGGCCTTCCCTGATGCATCTATCAGCTTTGGTGGCACTGGCGGCAGAGGGGGGATGAGTTGAGGCTCTGAATGAGCAGAACTTGACTGACCACGGACGCAGCAGTAGCGTGTCCAGACACAACAATGGTCGCCTGATAGCAAGCCAAATTGAAATCATCCTCACTCCAATTCAGCCACCCGTGAAGAGGGAAGGACAGAATAGCCACAGGCTTGCAGTCGCAGAGAGGAGAGGAAAAGGTGCGGACAATGGGGCAAGGGTTGAGCAGGGTGAGGGAGTCAAACCTGATAGAGGCCTCAAAGAATTCAGGACAATTTACAGAAAAGAATATCAAGAAACAATATAGAAAAGCTTTATTGATGAAGAACAGTTACAAGAAAACGATGGCCGAAGCCCCCAAAAGCCGAAGATCCCAAAGAAAGAGATTATTAATCTCAGTCTTCCCAAGTCCCAAGACAAATTCTCTAAAAGCCCCCTTACTAATCCCCTTCCCGTCTATTTATACTAGAATGCTGCCTAAACCCTTATTACTAATGTTATTATTTCTAATAATATTCTAATACTCTAATAGGCCGGTTCCTGTCAATACTCCCCCCCTAAACATCCACCTTGCCCTCAAGGTGGGTGATAGGAAACAGCCAAGATATTTTGCTTCTTCTTCTTTCTTGCACCTCTTCCTTCCCAATACCTAACTGATTTTGGGACCATGAACTTCATTGCCTGAAGACCCAAAGATGTAAGGCAGCTTACAAACCCCACCACCAATCTGGATCCTGATGCTCTGTGTTGTCGGATGTATACTGAGGTATTGTCATTGATAAGCAAAGGAAGAGCTGCACATAGATACCCAGCACCTTGATACTGAGGTATTGCCATAACTATTCTTTCCAGCCAATAGGGTTCCACGTCTATATTTCGAACATCTTCAACTAGCTTGGTTTCCATTATAAGAACACAATTGGAACAATTCAGTTCTGGATCATTGGAGCCTAAGATCATCTTGTAAAGTTGAAAATTTGCTTCAGCTTCCAATCCATTGATAATAGTCTGAGTATTAAGATCCATGACCACACTGATTTTATCAAACTGATATTCAAAAGTAAACTCATCAGCCCAAACCCCCTCCCCCAAACCCCTTGGAGTAAAAAAAAAACTCATCAACCCATTTCAGTCTATAATAACAGGAGTCCCAATTGGCATAAAATATCACACTGCCCCCCTTAATTTCCAATCTTGGCTTATCATATGAGTGGATGAAGATTGAACCTTCAATTGCACAAATCTGTGGATCATCCTTCCACATCTGTTTGCTAAGGCACCCCGGAATGACTCAACACCTTCACCCTCACGTTCTTGAACTCTACCCAACAAAGATTTAAAACATTCTGGGTTTCTTATCAGTACAAAATCATACCTCTGACCATCATAAGTTTCTGAATCTTCAGGATGATCTTGTGGAGATTCCATGGTTTGAGTAATGTCATATTCTGGATCCCATCCAAGAGTTAAAGTTGTATATAACTTCGACTCAGCCTTCATCAGTGTTGTCAATGGCGATCCACTTCCTGATTCCATGAGGTCTATAGTTTGTGCAGGGTGAGAATAGACTTGCGGTAAATCTTGTGGACTAAGGAACTCAGCTATCCTCAGCGGACTGGCAGACATGACTTGCGATGCAGAACTGCAAGGAGATAGCTTAGAAGTTTGCGAACTCAGAGGAGTGGCTTGAGACGGATAAGGCGAACAGTGAGAATCGATGCGCGCTGAAGATCGCGATTGTGAACAGTGAAAAGAGGTTCGCGATAGCGAATCAAAAGAAGCATTTCACGATTCCGTTTGCGAAGCGGTGAACGACTGCGAACTAGGGGAAACAGTGTGCAACTTTGTTTGCGAGCTTGTGAGCGATGGCGACGAACCTGATTTGTTAGGTCTCAGAGGAGACCTAATCTTCCTCGGTCGATATGTCTTCTGGTTCTTAATCTCGGCGAAGCCAGCCTTCATCATCGCTAACAATTTCTCATACTTCGCATTCGATTCCTCAAATTTCACATCGATCTTCGCACCTAATTCCTTCTGATTTCTAATGATTTTCCTCTCTAGCGAATCCATCCTCTTCTCCATTTCTGGTGTACAGAGTTCTTCCATTACTCGATCCATCCTATTCTCGGTCCAGGAAGTGAGGGCTCTGATACCAATGATAGAGGCCTCAAAGAATTCAGGACAATTTACAGAAAAGAATATCAAGAAACAATATAGAAAAGCTTATTGATGAAGAACAGTAACAAGAAAACGATGGCAGAAGCCCCCAAAAGCCGAAGCTCCCAAAGAAAGAGATTATTAATCTCAGTCTTCCCAAGTCCCAAGAAAAATTCTCTAAAAGCCCCCTTACTAATCCCCTTCCCGTCTATTAACTCTATTTATACTAGAATGCTGCCTAAACCCTTATTACTAATATTATTATTTCTAATAATATTCTAATACTCTAATAGGCTGGTTCCTATCAAAACCTCACCCCAACTTCCAGTCCCATATGTCATGAACTTGTACTAGTACCAATTCCAACATTGCCAATTCCAACATTTCCGGTTCCGAGTAAAATACCAGCCGGTTCCCGAACTGTGTCTACCCTAACCAACCAAGGTAGGTCGATCAAGACCCAAGTTGAATGGTGAGACCTGGAATTGAAATAGGTCTATCTCTAGATCAAATTTGATCCGAAAGAGCTCTTTAGAGATGTGAAGTGCAACCCTTAAGGGGGTACCCGGTACCACCCTGAGATTAAGGTTACACCAAACTGGCTACATCAGTGATCAGCCACTAAAGGACTAAAGGAATGTCGTTTAGTCGAAGAGACTGATCAACAAACCCATTCAGCAGGTCTTACAGCACCTCAATAGAAAATATGTAGTGTACATAAGGATGTGAGAAAAACACACAAGCAACTGCAATTAACTCTTATAAGGTCTTACAAGCGAGTACTTATTCATCATTGGTTATGCTATTTAAAAAAACAGTGAACAATTGATGCAAGAATGGTCAGAAGAAAGCCCTACTGCCATAAAAAACTCGAGAGCCAGTGCTCTTAGGTGTTGTTTGGGAGTTATGATCTGAATTTGAATTCCCGGAACTGCTATCAATGTTTAACGGGAGAGTCATCTTTGCCAATGATTCTGTAAACTGCTGCATGCTTTTCATGTACATGTCCACAATATCCTGTTGCACCACCTCCTGTTCTGTCACAGTCTCTATAGTGATTGCAGGCTTAGGGGATTCGCTTCTAGGAGGAGTACGATCTCCAGAATTGACGGGTCCCTCCTCACTGGAGACGGCCAGCTTATGGAATTCACTTCTGGGAGTACCTTTTCCCCCATCTCCAGAACAAAGGGGTTCATTTGGTATGCAGGAAGTACTAGAGCAAGAAAACAAAAAAGGGAAAACAATTAGACAGAAAGAAATTGTGATGGTGGGGATTCAATAAAAGAAGCTAAACATCAATACTGTTTCCACTATATAACGACTAAGAGATAATATTATTTTTGTTTTTTAAATAAAAACAAAAATAATAGTTTCCATTTTCATTTTCATTTTCCAAATGTTGAAAACAATACATTGGGTTAAATGTCAAACAACTTAACATGGGTGACCTTAACCTTTATCAAGTCATGCAAATCCAAATCTTAAAACAAACATAAGAAAGTTTGCTTATTTAGCATCTTTTTCCCTTTGCCTTAGCATTTTCCGAGTTTTAACATACCCTGGAATATTCTCCTTCGGGGATTCTTGAGGAGGTGGACAGTACTCTTTGCTTTGAGACTCAGATTCTTCTTGAATTTCAAGATACTGAACACAAGCGGGATGTGAACCATATGGGGAGCCATTTTCGGAGTCAGAGGTAACATCCAAACAATCTGGGCTCTGGGTGCTGAAGTACTCAGAAACCATCAAATGATTCTCACTCATGATCTTAGGATCCGGAAACTCGATCTTTTCAAACTCGCAGGAAAGTGACTCAACCACTTCGGCATCGTACATCGACTTTGGCAGTGAGGGGGTGATCATTACATCTGGTGAAAATCCTGAGTATGCGAGAGACAGGTGAACAAATCCAGCTGGTGAATGGAAGAGATCCGTTGAAGAGAGAGAGAACTCCTTCTCTAGTTTCCTATTCCCAGCGATGACATCAGATAGAGGTACTAAAGCAAAACCAAGCAATTGGTCTTCCAAGTAATTCCTCGCTCTGCTCATCATCCAAACCTCACATTTCAGGGAACATTTGACAGTTTGGACATTCAGGCTGAGAGTCTGATTGAAAACCGGGTTTTTCCCACCACCGTTTATTATTTGTGTTGACAATGCGTTTTCGGGATCACTTGTGAGGCAAAGCTTGGCAAAAACATCTTGATTGTGGTATATACAGATGTTTGTGATGTCTCTGGCCTGGTGTACGTGGACATCTAGAACACCAATGTAGTTCTCTTTTTCAGAAATTCCCCCGGACTGAGGAGAACCCATTATGATGACCACGAACTATTTTGGGTTTTCTGGGAACACACACACATTCAAGTTCAGAACCAAGATATAAAAATCTTCAAAAAGGAGTGAGATGCAGACACGAGAAAAGTTGAGAGAATAAATGTAACTAATATGCTAATAATGGTGTTGATCTCATTATAAAAATCATCAAAAAGGAGTAACTTATGGGGAAATAATGAAATTTGATTGAAATGTGACCTGGTCTAGAATATGTAAATTTTATTTGGATCAAATCTACTTTTCTGATTTAGTTATAAGTTCGGTCTAATATGTTAAAGTGTGATCTGGCCAAGAATATGTATATTTTATTACTATTCAACTCTGGTCTGGACTGAACTAGAGTAATTTGATATGTTTTAGTCTGATCTGGTCAGATATGTGACTAAATAAATCCATGTGAACAGTTGCCTAAACAGCTTAGTGGCAGTTTCTGCAATTCAAAAATAAGTGCCACCAACCTAACCCAACTCCATGGGGATATGTGCGTCTTTTGAAATTTTAAAAGATTCAGTATCAAATAACTTGAGCATGATCCAAGTTAAGCTCCTAAATTTGACCATACACATCAAGCTTATCTACCACCAGTTTTGAAGTAATAGTACCAACTGGCGAAGTGAACATAAACCTCATGTCTTGAGCTCGCCTAGTGTCTAGCTCGAAACCGTAGATCAGCATTATAGAAATAAGCTCAACACGAATTCATGATATTCGGGGTAAAAGCAGATTGAGATCTTCTGTGTTACACAAAAAGCAAGATAGGGTGTCTTGCAGAGTTTTAATAATGGAGGATGGCTGATAGCCAAAACTCTGCCATATGGTGCCCCGAGCATAAACCCCCATTCTTCAGAAATTTATTTAGCCGTCTGCTAAATTTCTGCCACAACTATTCCCTGTGGCAGCCATTTAACATCACTTGTCTTGGCACAATCATCCAATTCCAGATCAGACAGTCTTTGGTTGGTGGGATAAATTGAGGGGACATAAGCATGTAAAAGTCCTATCTAAAACTGATGACATGGGGAGAAAAGCAGCATTTGCTTTAAATCCCGCCATTTATACACCAAATCATGCAGAAGAAGTCACTCTAAAATTGTTGATTGCACGTATCCTCAAGTTCCCAATATAGCTCCTAGAGAATGGCTACTGGTTGGTCAAACAACAAAAGCTAGCTCTCAAAATGTCGCTTGAAGTAGGAGTTGATTGCGCAACCACTCGAGCTAGGTTAAACATATTTTTAAACAAAACAGCTCTTACTTCGAATTAGGTTAGAAAAAAAAACTTTTGTGAACTCTACTTTACAAAACTCTTTCTACATGAACACTAACAGCAAAGACTTGTCTTTAAAAAAAACTGTAGAGTGCAGTTTCATTCACAACTCAAGAAAATAAGGTTGATAGAAGATCTGTAGAGTAGTGTTTCAGATTTCGAATTTTGACCGTCTAGGAACTGAAAAGTGTTTCATACCTCGATAGCTGAAGCGAGGCATAATTTATGTTTTGAGAACATTTGATAAGGTAGGTTGAAGCAGGTAAGACAGAAGATGTACTTGAAACAGTGAAATACCTGATAAATTGATATGGATGAAACTGCAAAGAACGCTGACTTGTCCAATTGGAGTTTCCCAGAGCCGAAGGGGAAGCCTCTAGTCTCTAGAGAGAATTAAGACCAATATATACGAGTACTTTTTTTAGACAAAATTAAGACCTATATAGAGGCCGTTTCCACTTTTCTATTTCTATTATTCCATCTCCATTTTCATCATTTTCCAATTTTATGTTTTTCATTCCTACGGAGTATATAAAGGCCGTTTGGCAACACAGTTTTTCGTCTTATCAGACTTATCTACCAACTTTTTTACCAAACACGTAATTTTTGCTTTCGCGTGCTGAATTGTGTAATAAACAGAGAAAGTAAGGTTTGAGTTACTTTTTCTGGCTGTATTACCTGAAGTTACTGTAGATGATCATTTTAGCTATTTTTACATATAATTTTTTTTATTTTATTAATAAAATATATTTTAAAAATAATTTTTTCTTAAATCAGCAGAATCAGCCAGTGCAGCCACTTCAGCCAGAATTTCATAAATTTCAGCAGAATCAGCCGATTTTTGTGCTACCAAACGGACTAATAGTTTCAAATTTCAATTATCAACATTTGAAAACTATTGCATACTCCCCTCCCTCTTAAAATTTGGTTAAGTTTGATTGGCATGTGGATTAATAAAGTAAAAATTGTATTGTTA